TTACTTAGTCCAAGTACCTCGAAGAGAATTAATTTGATGAGTAATGATAATTGATAAGATCCTAACATAGTTTTTGATATTGTTGACACGTTCTATCAACAGCAGGATAAAAATGACCCGTTTCTTACAAGCGAAGATCAATGCCACATGATCAAGATGATATTATCAATTGCTGACGATGATAGAAGAGCAACCAAGTATATAACATCTAGATACATAAAACGCAAAAAAATATTTTGTCATGTACTAATATCTCTATCGTATGTTCTTGTTGTTTTTCTTTTCTCTCTGTCTCTCTCGCTCTTCCTTTTCTCTCATCGTTTATTAAAAGAAGATAACTGCTACTATGATGATTACAGTGTTGCAAGAAAAAGCAGTGGCCAGTTTGATTAGGATGAGTGCCCCCGATGAGACAATATGCACTCCAACAGACATTATCTTTCTTTCTTCTCTCCTGCTGCTATTCACTGCTCATTTTCACTGTACATAACAATTTTCTCGGTTTCTCACTTTTTTTTTCTCATTGATCGTTTGTTCATTCGTTTGTTCTGAGATCTATTTTGAAGCTAATTTGCCGTAACTGATTTCTCATGTTTTCTTTTTCATAAAGAAAACGACTTATCATCGAGAAAATATTCTAAATAGTTACCTGACAATCTGTTTACTAGATTTTATTCTCTATCCGTGTCGTTCTCAGACACACTTGCTGCTAATAATTATCTCTCTATGTATTTTGCATCGTTCATAGTCCGATTATAGTATCTTGAAGTAAAAAGAAATACGGGGATAGAAAAAATCGATTCACGATCCTTTTCACTCGTCGAATAATTAGCTAGTGTTAGTTGACGTACATTTTGTTTTATGACTTCCGTTTTTCTCTTTTTGACAAGCGTCAATTGTCGCATGAGCGAGCTTTGCGCAATCTTCAATCGAATTCACAGCATGTTTAGTCAAATATTTGTTCTCTTCACTTACTAACATTACAAAAAAGAAAAAGATACGCTATATTGGTCAAGCACGTCTATTTTCCATCTATCTTAAACACATACCAGCTGTCAAAAATCGTGCGAACAACCTTGACGGTGCGCTTCTTCTTCATAATGACGATTACAAGTCGTAATTACTACTACTATACAAATAAGAAGAGCTGCTTATATGCACACATTACAAAGAAAGAAAATGCGTCGCTCTTTTTCTTCCTTCTCTCTTTCTCTTTGTCTCTGTCTTTATCCTCTCTTCTTACTAGTACACATTTGCTTAGTCGTCGAACCACTTAATTAGCAAATGTAAAGGACTTCCGTTTTTGTTTTGGGTAAAGCGAGAATCAAGCATGCTTATTATTCTAGAAGAAGGAACACAGTGAAGCGCAATGAAAAGGAACAGCAACAGTCATAGTTACAAAAATGAATAGATTCTGATACGAGAAAGAACGGAAGAAAGAGAGAAAGAGAGAGAGAGAGGTAAAAGAAATCATGTTTATATATATGTGTATGTGTGTGACTTTTTGGTCATGCTATTGCTGCCCACCGGGGGAAAACATGCTATGCTGACGGATGGCGTAGAAATACAATTCACCAGAAAATTCATTATAGTTTCTTGCAATAACTGTTCTCCATTCACTTATTCATTCTCACAGATTACGTGTGTAACTTCATGAGTCTCTATAGATTTAATGAATGCAAGAGAATACAAGAAGTTACTTGTTCACAGTTCAACAGCAATTTTATGTATGCATCGATAGAAAATGTGGCAATTGACATCATCAATCATTACTTTAAAAAAATCAACCACATTACATTGTGTATATTAACACTCTTTAGAAAAAGCTATAGATCAGGGAACTGACAGTTTGCTCTAATTAGCCGCTAGCTAAATCGAGAAGACAACAAAATAATCTTATTACCTCTCATTTGTTTAATCGCTTTACAGTACGCATATATAGTTTGAGTATATGCAAAAATGAGTCTTCGTCTTATTCTGGTCAATTGCATTTACTCGTGATCTTGTATAATGATTGAAAAATGGTCACCACCAATAAACCATAATAATCGTAATAGAATTTCTTTTTCTTTTTTTACTTTTCTTTCCTTTTATTCATTCATTCATTCATTCATTCATTCATTCTTTTTTTACAGTTGAAAAAAAAAGGCAAACCAAAGCAAACCACCTCACTTCAACAACTTAAAGGAGCACTAATAAAAAAAGGATGATGATGATGACTGTTGTAGCGGCGTCAACGGAATGTGCGCAACATTGAACACGCAAGCAAGCGCACAATGAGGAAACGCAATAAGAGAAGAGCGGAAAGAAATCGGCTAAAAAAGAACTTACATATATATAAGGAAAAACTTCTTTGTTTTTCTTGCAGTTTTTTGTTACTGTTCACTTAATATTATATTCTTCTCATGAACAATGAAAATACAAACAAACTTGTCATATTACATCGATTATTTTAGTCATGAACAATTAACTTGATGACTAGTATATCTTACGAATTAATAAGATAATTGTGACAGGAACAATTAATCTTTATAAATCTTTTTCTTTTCGATCGATGAGGTGTCATATACTTAGTCTTTTTTTCTCTTTTCTTTGTTAATGTTGCGTGCTATGTATATATGTGTGATGATGGGCTAGTTGAAGAGTCTTCTCGTTTTCTTTTTCCTTCATTAAATTTCTGCTCTACCAACACCACCATCATCAGTAAAAGCTTTCGGTACTTACGCTTCTGATGATCCAAAAAAAAGAAACTGAGAGCCAACGAATGAAAGTGATAATGAAGCATGAGTCTATCGAGAACATAATGGAGCGATTCATCAGTTATTCTGCATTTTCCTTTTTTTTCAACCATCAAGCGTCGATTGAGTCGTCATCGATTGTTCAAGAAGATGATGAGACACCATCGTCATTACTGTCAAAAAAAGAAGTGATCAGATAATATGTGTGAATTTGGTGCCTTTGTGTTCATAGTCTTTTACAGAAAAAGCGTGAACGACAACGACAAGTGTGCCTCTAAGGGTTCATCTTATCACAAGTTGATCGATCAATAGTTATAACTGATCTATTCTCGTATGATAAAGTGTCATAGAGTTCTATTGAGATTCATAAAAAAAAAGAACCATTGATTACAAAACACACTGTTCAGCTACAGTAGAGAAATTGTAGGTTTTTCTTATTTTTCGAATGTATCTATTGGGACATATTTGTAAATATGAATAAAATTATTCCCAAAATATCTGTTATGTGAATATATTGTGAAATAAGTGACTAAACACTAATTGAATCATAAAGTTTTATTGCATTGAAATGTATCTTTTCTCTTATGTTTAATGATAAAATCATTTCAATCAACACATATCAAATATTAATAGGAAAATGTGAATCATAACCAATTTTTTATCAGGTTTTTGTGTTTGAAGTGTTTTTTTTCTGAGTTATTTTTGTCTTTTATTTAATCTGATGTTCCGTTTCATTAGTGTTAGATTAACCATCGATATTTGCTCGATCAGAAACAATCATATAAATGATAGTTCTTGAATTTCTTTTCCATCAGTTATCTCGAGCATTTCTATGATTAAATTTAGTGTCAACTATCCTCTAAGGAATATTAAGAATTTACAAATGAACAAGCTTTTTCAATCAAGTACCAAAAAATATCGATTGAACTTATTCCTAAATCTCAGATGATTCGAATAATTTTGCATTGGTTTTGCCTTTCAACGGCACACTCTGATGAAACAAAAGAACTCGTTCTTTTTATTCAGGAAGCAATAAATATGTCATGCAAAGTATCATTTATTATGCTCATTATAATTTTAATTACTCGTAAAACATTCGAAACAAGTTAAAAGATTATATCCAATAATTGTGCTTTTGTTCCCGTCCAAGTTATAGAATCATTCTAAATACATATATTATATCACTTGATAAGCTCAGAGAATAATCACAAGTACCACAATTACAACAATTAAACCTAATGATGAACAGCTAATCAAAATTTTGTATCTACTTGTCAATTTTTGTAAATTCCATCGAGTTGGATTCCATCGAACTAGTGATCGTTGACAAATATTTATGTTTGTATTTACAGTTGATGGTACTAATATGTCTCCTATTATTGACGGTGATGTTATCATCGTACTATCTTCATTTCCTACACCGGGAATAGTAAAACATGATACATGTTTATGATATGATAATAATTCTTGTTCTAATGAACTCTCTTTTGAGAATACAACAGATTTCATACTTGTATCTGTATCATATATTTGTGTTAAATCGTTCATATTTTTAATTTTATTATTAATATTGGACGATGAAATGTTCTTATCAAGTGATAACGATTGATCATGATCAGTATTTGTTGATGAACTATCGAGTATATCTGTATCACTTAATTGTGTTAAATCAATTTTTACTGTTTCTGTTTGTTTTGTATTACTATATGTCAATGCTGTAAGTGGTGTTGTATTAGTTGTCGTTTTTGTCAATGGTGTAAGGTCATCAGAGTTAGTTATTGGTTTTTGTATACTAGTAATTGAATAGAGAAATAAGGATGATTGGTCGGATGATGAAGATAATATTTGATGTTGTTTTTCTTCAATTGGTAAATTTGTAATTGTATCAAATAAAGTTGTCGGTAGACGATTAGCATTTTTATTACTTCGTATAATAGATTTTTCGTGTAATGTTTGATGTTCAATATCAAATTCATCATTATCATTTTCTAAAGATTGTCTTAATTGATGTTTTCGATGAGGCGCACCATGTCGTCTTGAACGACGTATTGCCTTCATCTCATTGATAATCGATTATGAAAAAAAAGTTTATTATGAATAGAAGAACAGTAATACATGAAGAGAATCCGAGACAGTTAAATGAAATACAAGTAGGATTTTTTTTTATTATTCAATTAAATTTCAAAGCGCCAATCAAGAAAAATAAAGTACAATTGCAATTTATTTAGAAAACAAAAAATAAAATAAAATGAAAAAAATTTATCATCTATTTCGATATTTAATTTCATCCAATAAATCCAAAAATCGAAGAATACCATAAATAAATGACATTGGTATACAAAGTATAATAAACCATGTTATAGTATTGAATTGATTTGGTTGCATTGTTAATAAAAAATCTTTTAATTGTTTATGTAATATATCTTTTGTACCATTATTATCAATAACATAACGTGCTCGTCGACATTTCTCATTTAAACTCATCTGTGTATTAATACGTTGTAATGCTTGTTGATTATCATTAATATTATCACGTTTTTTTAAACGATCTAATTGAATTGTTTGATCGCATGATATAACTAATGTATGTGATAAATATCGATTAAGACCAACTTCAAATAAAAGTGGTACATCCCATATAACAATTGGTTTTAATTGAAAAAAATATTTTATGAGTTGTTTCAGAGCTTCACGACGAATATAACCATGTGTACATTTATTTAATTGTTTACGCATTTGCTCATTAGTAAAAATAATTTCACCTAAACGTTTTCGATCTATAGATCGACTATTTGATTCAAGAATATTGAAATGACCAAAATGTTTTAATATATTATAATAAGCAGGTTTATCAGGTTCAACAACAAGACGAGCAATTAAATCAGCATCCACAATAGAAATACCTTGTGATTTAAAATACTCACTAGCTGATGTTTTACCTGTAGCAATACCACCGGTTAAACCGAGAATAAGCATTCTAAAATAAGTTTCGTAACTATGGTGAGTGTGATCCAATAAAGATATATGTTCGGAACTTGAAAAAAGCTTTCTGTAAGTTTTTTCCTCGATCCAAAATAATTAAAGCACAGGCTTTTACAACAACAGCAAAGAAAAAAAAACAACATTTTTTTTTATTAAATTCAGAAGAACAGGGAATCAGGAGTATTTTGAGATTACGAGGACTGAAGAGGGCGGCTCAATATCTCAAAAGATCAGCTGGAATGTTTCTGCTAAAATTGATCAGTTTGAGAGAAATTGCACTTTTGATTTTTGAGAATTATTGAGCAAAAAACAGATGATAAAAACGCTGGAGCTCCATTGGTGAACATTCAGGACTTACCTAACAGAAGAGCATACATTTATTTTCGAGCTAGTTTATGAGGTGTACATAATGCAAAAATCGAGTGGATTGTTTTCTCGTTCTTTTATATATGATTTCATAGAACTTAACGAGCGAGCCACTAGTGTATACTCGTTTTCCTTATAGAAATTGTCAAATTCTAATTACATTGTTTTCTCATACTTTAGGAAAACATTTTATTCTGATTCAGCGTCAAAATCTGGATGAAAAAGTGTTATTTGATTAGATTTATGATTAATCATGTTAAACAAATTCCGTCTAATATAGATCTCTTGTACATGCCACATAGTACATATTTGTCAGAATTCTTATAAACCTACTTAGGTTTTTTGCAACAAGAAATAAAAGTAAGTATTTTACTTAATTATGAGAGACATATTGTGATCTAGAAAAGTACCCATTTCGTGTTTTTTTAAACTTAGTTTTATTGTTGAGAAAATTATTTTTTTTTTCTTTTTCGGTGGTAAATCAGATTAAAAAGTGAAAAATGCTTTCGTATCTAGTAATTTTTATTATCATGGCTCATTTGTAAGTTCAAATCGATAGCATACTAGGAATCAGTGTCAAAAGCTTCTGTGGATCGTACATGTTTAAAAACTTTGTTTTGTTGTCGAAAACCAACCCTTTGGAGGGACTAGAAGCACAATATAAAATAATGGATTTGAGAAGGACCACAGGTATTTTTCATTCGAAATAGTTTTTACTGAAACATATGTAATTTGATATACTTTTTGACGCTGATTCCTAATATGCTATGGATTTTGGCTTACAAATGAGTCGTGAAAATAAAAATTGCTAGATGCGAAAGCATTTTTCATCTTTCTACCTGGTTTACCACTGAAAAGGAGAAAAAAATTAATTTTCTCAACAATAAAACTAAGTTTAAAAAACACTTAATGAGTACTTTTGTAGATCAAAATCTGGCTCTTATAATGAAGTAAAATACTTACTTCTATTTCTTGTTGCAAAAGAACTACGTAGGTTTATAAGAATTTTGATAAATATGTGCTATAAGACATGTACAAGGGATCTATATTAAACAGAATTTGTTTAATCTGACTAATCATAAATCTAATCAAATAACACTTTTCCATCCAGGTTTTGACGCTAAATCAGAAAAAAATGTTTTCCTAAAGTTTGAGCAAACAGTGTAATTTGGAATTGAACAATTTCTGTAAAAAAATCGAGCTCATATTTACTAATGTTACAATGTCATTCATTCAAGGATTTTCAGCCAAATAGTGATGTAATCGAAATAAAAACTATTTACTCGTGACTAGTTTGTCAAGCTCTATGAAATCATTTAGAAATGAATAAGAAAAATCTTTACTCGAATCTTGCATTATGCGCACCATAACTATTTCTAAAATAGATATATACTTAGAATATCTCCGTTTTTCTGTATTCAAGCATGAAGGATGTGAGATGTAGTGTAAGGATGTCAATATATAAATATTATCAAACAAATAATTCTTTATCGAACAAGAGAATTTTATATGAATTCAAGTTCAACGTTGCTGGCACTTATACAACTTTATAAGACTTTTAAAATAACATTGAGAATTTGAGAGTGGGTGCTACTGTGAAGAAAGTCGACACGCACATCGTTAAATACTGAGTCTTTTTTAATTAATTAATGAGTAAAAACTACTGAGTATACAATAAAAAAACATACTGGGCATTCATTATAAAATGCTGATCAATTCAATACAAGCCTTTCGAAACACGTTTTTGGTGTCGACTTACGAGGAAATGTTTATCACTAACCAATTGCTTTCCCACCGAAATTTATAGACGTATGAATTATTAATTATGATGATTCCGAATATGATCATCAGCAATCTAATTAGGTCTTTATGTGCTGGTTTTATAGCAAAACCGATTTTTCAGACAAAGAAATATTCTGATAAAATCATTTTGAATGTACTCAGATTATGGATCATATTGACTTGTCTAAGAATCAATCATCTTTTCTGTTTCGAAAAAATAAGTTTCAAAAAAAAATGATTTAAAACAAAAGCTTGCTGTTTTTCCAGATATTTCGATATGCTTTATCATCTGAACACATTTAAAATTTTTTTGGCAAATATTTAGTTCATCTGGATAATCAATTTTTCTATGGAACCAATATACAAAGAGCGATTGATCAATTGCAAATATTTCCTCATTAGTTTTAAGGTTCAATTGAGAAACGATGTGATGTTGTATAAATTTAAGAAGCTCCTCTTTAATCTATCTACAAAAGTCGTTCGAAATACAAATCTGTTTTCATTTATTAGAAACACAATAAACTTTTATTGTCTTAAAACTAGAAAAGAAAAGAAAAAACTTGAATACATAATTTTTTGAAAGAAAAATTTTGCTTGAAAACTGTTTGATTGTACAAATGATGAGAAGAAGAAAAAATTTGAAATAACTCCATCAAAAATCGTATTTTGTTGAAAAATTCTAATATCTGTATGCATAGTTGCATACAACATATCAGTTGGCTTGTTGTATTCGTTATTTGCCACTCCTGATTATGTTTAGTTTATCTTGTAGTCGCATCCAAAAAAAAACGGAGAATATGAAATCAAACGAAAAAAAAAGAAATAGGATCTTATAGTTCGTATACATAAATGCACAAAAAAATAAAGGGCCACTAATATCTTAAGAAAAAAAGTACAAAAGAAATAACGTTGGGTTGTATTTTTTTTTTCTTTCAGAACATTATGATGATCATTATGGAATATAAGTATGGATACACACACATACATTGTCACTAGACATCAAAGGAAAAAGAAAAGAAAAAGAATGCAGTGAGCAGAATTTAGTTGACAAATGAATGTAAGAGAGTAAAAAAAATATATAAAGATTTATTCTTCTGCGACGAAGCCTTTTTTTTGACCTTCTGTACGTTCTTTATTGAGTTCTTCAACTGTAGCAGCTTCAAGTGCTCGAATATCTTGCATTGTTAAACCATACCATTCATCCATCCAACAAAATAATTGACGATGAAAATTACGAAATAAACGTTCTTCTTGACTCATAATTAAATTTTCTACTCGTGTTTGAAGACCAAACCATTTGAACTTTGCTCGTACTAATTTGTAACAACACCTAAAATATCGAATAAAAATTTATTCTGTTGCCATGTATTATATCAACAATGAATCATTCTTTCATAAGTGTATTTAACAAAAAAGAAGTCATTCGATTGTTGACTATATAAAAATTTTTTTTTTGAAAATATATTTTTAGTTCTCTTTTTTTTTAAATGAAATTTCATGTTTGTTTACTTTCTACAGGTTAAAATATTTATTCTGATCTTCTAATCTTTGTTCAAGGTTTATTCATTCACTTTGACAAGTACTTGAATATATCGAGGTATCTAACCCATCGTTTGTACGTTCCAGTGTCAAATAGAAGGTCTAACCAATATACACAGGCCACACAATAGTATATCTCGTCGGGTTTGTCTGGATTCGAAAATTTTGAATTCGACGAGCTCTACAGAAGAGTTTCAAGATTGCGAGGGAGTGTTGAGCAGAATTACTGAGATTTATTTAAATCACTGAATTTATCTGGTCTTATCTATTTATATAACATAATAGATTTTCACTGTATCAAAAGAGAGCCATAACTCTGAATAGTCAGTCTACATCCTCAACTAAACATCTACCTTCAGATTAGTTTCCTTTGTTTGATATATAACAAGGTTTATAGAAAAATTCCAATAAATCCTGAAAGCTGCTGCTATGATATAAAACTATTGGAAAATAAAGCTTACATATGTGGTTCACAAGATTTGAACCATTGTTCACTTGTTAATAGTGGACCACGACCAGTTTTTGTTGAATGAAATTTTTCTGGATCCTCTTCTGATTTATAATCATGACGGTTAACTTTATCCGAAATAGTAATATAAACAATATGACGTTTTCTAAGTTCATCACCAGCTAATTGATGAACATTGTCAGATTCACCTCGATCAGGTAAATGTAATGTTGAGATATCAATAAACATATTTTCTTTCATATATGGATTTGTAATAACTGTTTTACAATATGGATAAGCATTCCATGCTTCTTCATGCATTGATAAACTTGAATCTTTAAATACTAAACGAACAAAAGCTGGTACACGGGAACCAAAATGATAAATTTTTCTGGTATATTGTCCAGCATTGAATTTGCCAAGAAATGCTTCTGACATATTTTTTTGAAAAGGTTCATTAGCAAGAACTTCTACACCTTCACCACCACCTGTATTTTGTTTTGAAACTTTAGCAGTTGCATATAATTGTGCAACTTGATATTCTTCCACTGTCATTGGTAAAATAATTCGAAATTCGGTGATATGCATTGTGAAATAGAACAATAAATAATAAATAATAATAATATAAATTAAAAATCTACAATGAAACAAGAAAAAATATAATGTACTGTAAAAATAAATTTTGTGATGTTTGTTCCTTTTCTTCTGATGCTATTTAAGCTGTTTATTCAAAAAATATAATATTTTTTTGTTAGTTGTTTGCGCACCACCTCTTATTTTTTTCTTTTTTCTGCCTTGTGACACATTCTACTAACTCAGTATGTTGACATTCATATTTATACTATGGACATCATTTTTT